TGTATGTCTTCAATTTTTGCAATTAAATGCATACCTCTTTTGGGCGGTCGCCAAATTAAAGTATCATTTTCAGTTCCCAAATTTAGTATTTGTTTTTTGGAGGACTACTTTCCCGAATGGCATTACGGCAATGTTAATGAATAGAATAGATGGGAATCAGAAGCGGATGGTAGTGTTCATTTCTCGTATTTTTTATTGAATGAAAATAATAAAACAAATTGGCGAGAAATGTGAAACCCACACATCTTTTTGCGTTATTCTCAAATCATACTTTTGGGGTTAATGTAGGATCTATGAAGGATGTTGGAAATCATCCATTCGAGACAGGATAGACGGGCACCCGCCAGCTCTTGAAAAAGGTAAGCCAAGTACCGAGCAAGTAGGGCCCAGGAACAGTGTTTAGGGAGAAAATGCTTTCTTTTCGGGATTAGTCGGACAGGTTGAGGGAAAAGTGGAGATTCGAAGAGACTTTACGCCCCAACCGGCAAATAGTAATAGTGACTGAACGTAAAAGGCATGTAGAAGCTGTTGGCTTCACCAAGCAGGAAAAGAGATTAAATGGTACCAAACTAATTGTTTTGCTGAACTTTGGTGGCGTTTTTGTGGGAATTGTGGGACAATGTCAACCATCAGACTTTCCTCCCTACTTGCAACTCCGGGTGAATACAGTGCGCATTCAAGACATGCCGGTGGTATCGAAATACTTCTTGAGTAGATACGAAAAAATTGTGTTTACAGCAACCGTTTGATTTAAAATTGTTGAACTTATGTCTCGTTAGGGCTAAAATGTGGCACGAAAAGATCCGTAGGCCGATCTTACCAGAAGAGGACGATCAGTGGGCTCGCTCTCGATCGGCTTTGCTGGAACATTCTTGATGATACTGTCCCCAGAAACATCTTATTCGACTCCTGTGAAAACGTGATCAGCTCTTGTCCATCATATGATGGGCATCATCATTCTTTCAAAGGGTCCAGATAACTTAGTGACTTATCTTTAACGGTTGGTAACATAATTGAGGTCGATATTATTTCTAGTGAAAGTGTTTAGTGAAGAGACTCGAAGGTCGATTCCATCAGAAGACGACGGCGGATTCCTCTTGACCAACTGTCGACTGGCTCTTCTGGAATACTCTTGTTGACACGGTTTCCGAGGCAATCTTCTTCGATTCCGGTGAAAAGGTGCTAAGCTTTCGTCCGTCAAATGACAAACATCATCAAAGCAAGGAGGGTATCATCGTCACAACCAACTTGAAGCCAAAGTGTCAAGAAAACTCCTCGGAACATCCCTAAAACGCTGTATGCATACTCCATGTCTGATCTCTTTGATGAAGTGCAAGTTGATTCGGTTAGTTGCAGTCAATTGTCAACCTCCTTGCCGGTATTCCTTACATTCCATATTTTACAGATCCGATTACTTTCGACGGCTTCTCTTATTTTACGCTTAGCTGCAGACGTAAACAGCAAAACGAGAAGTTTGAGGTCATTCAATCCCGCGTCCAGTCACTGTACTTTGTTCAGCCAACTCCGATTGCGTCTGCAGACGCTTTTGTGCTCCGACACGCTTTGTCTCCAACATAAAAGCGACCACAGGAACGCATTATGCTGTAGCAACCAGATCTGGAGAATGGGTCAACTTTCTCGCTAAAAGTGGGCATAACGGAAGCAAGTGTCGTAGTTTCCCTGAAGACCGTTTTCAAAGATAAAAGATGAGAAAAGGTCTCATCATCTCACCTTACATATTCACCATTTAAAAGGCTATTTTTTATTAATTTAATGTTATTTTCAATCAAGCCCATGGGATAGTTATTCTCAAGACATATTAGTTTGAGTCGATTCAGTTCATTTACACAATGCTCTCCGAATAATCATAGATTTTAAAACGCTAACTTTTGCTTTGAGAAGAAGTTAAGTATAAAGCCAGCATGTGTGGCTGTCTATAGACATCCCTGCGCAACTTCTCACCTGTTCTGATCGATAAAACATCTAAAAATGGTACATTATTGTTGACCTCCATCTCCATTGTCAACTAGAAATGATCTAAACTGTCCTTGCCATGCTGCCAAAGTAGTTATTCATGCATCCAAACGACCGTTTGGGTGTCAATCTCACCTCTTCCATGAAGTGTTCCTCCATTCTTGACATGTAATTATCCGCTAAATTGGGAGCCAAGCAAGATCGCATTGCTAGGCTTTGAACCTGTTCATAAACCGGATCATTAAAGCTGAAGTATGCGCCACTCGTGGACTTATCAAGCACACTCAAGATTGAACTTTTGTTCAGATTTGCTTCCTCAATAATTTCTGGGCGTTCATCCAGGCCGAGTGCCTTCTCAACTGGGATGTTAGTAGCGTTGATACCACATCGAAACTCACCAAAATGTCCTCTATCCAATACTTTGTAGATCTATCAATCTAACAAATTCATATTAATTCTACACTGAATATTTCCAATACTTTCCTTAATTATTCGCATCAAACTTGCCTTATTATCAACAATCAATCTTGAAGGAGCTGCTTTGTTGTGTCTTTTTGGAAGGAGGCAAGCAGAAGGCGTCATTGTATCCCTTTTGAAGAAGTGAATTCATTTTCCACTTTCCAATTTCTCCTCTGCTTACACAGACGCCAAGCGATTCCCTAAATTTGACCTTGAGACTCTTTGTGGGATCGTTTACTAAAAGCCGACTGCAAAACGGAGACGACTCAACTGGTCTTTTCATATCTTGGTTCCAATCAGGGCCACTTCTCTGTACTTGTGGCACACACTTTCTCTCTTACATGCGGACAAAACAAGGCTCATCAACAAAATCAGAAGCCCGTCCAACCTTGCACAATCAAAGTGATGGTTGGAACATGAATGCAGAAAGGGAGAGATAGTCGTCATCAAACCGTGATGTCCAGGCGGAACCTCAACCCGATCATATAATCTACCAACCAAGAGATTTAATGATGCTTTGTTGTGTTGTTATGGAAAATATCATTCGTCCTGTGGGACACTTACCAATGTAGAGGGCTGTAGAAAGGATCGAGGTATCCACAGGCTTGTCCTCCGGAGGGAGAATATTTGAAGCTATAGAACAGAAAGAGAATGGCATAAGAAACAAGTCAATTTTAGGCGAATTATTTAACATTTCAGTTAAAAAAATAACGCCACAAAACCCAGATCCTTCAACAACTCCACGTAAGTAGAGTGACAAGGTACCCTCACGGGCTGGAGGGTTCCAAACGGGATGGAAATGCATTCTCCTCCCTCGCAAAGAGAAAATTAATTTGTTGACGTGTGGGAAGGAAGTTCTTCGCGATCAGCAGCAACGGACCCGAATCACCGATCCACTTTGCTACATACTCCAGCATCTTCAATGTCCAAATAAGACATGACTTCTGCGGACACTTTACCAACTCCTCATCACTAAGGTACCATTCGACGTCTGAAAATCTGCCGTCAACAGCTAAATCGGTGAGTCAAGTCCTCTTTGGAGGGAATTCCTCACTTTTTTCCATTATCAGTTCTCCCAAAGTGTAGCAAGACTTGAGCAGCATAACTAACAAATCATATTTTTCGTTTAGAAGTAGTTGTATAAACAACAAAATAGTAGCATTCCCTTACAGTTCAGCAGTGGTAATAGCAATATAAAACACACAATGATTATAGAAGTAATATCAATACTATCATCAGTTTTAATCAACTCAACAGTACTTATAATTGAGACGGTGATGCAATTTTATGCATCCACACCTGAGTATGAATTAGTATTATAGAGTGGGTACCGCAGTTTAGAGGGAATATTGCCAAGATGATAATAGTACCAAAACGTCAGTTGTAAGTAAGCTAAAAACACATTGATGGGTCATTTGCTA